GGTGCAAGATTATGCCAAAATTTCATGTTTTCCGTCCCGTTTTTGCTCATTTCTCAGAGGCAAAATGAGCAAGAACGCTCATTTGTACATCATTCTAGAGAGAAATAAATGGTCTTTTTAGAAAGTGAACCATCGATAAGCAAATGTGGGCAGTTTTCTCAAAAAATACTTGAATTCAAGAAGTTTTAGGTTTGCGTGTTTTTTTTTAGTTGTAAAATCCACTTGAACATGACGCTGCTTTTTTCGAAGTTTCTCAAGAACTATTCGAGCTACAGAATTCGTTTTGGCATCGTTGGATAGAGAATTGAATGGGGGGGCTCATGACCCCCATGACCCCCCCTGGATCCGCCCTTGAGGCAACGCATGCAACACACACACACACACATTGATTATGACTATTACCAATTAACTTTTATATTTATGTTGTCTGAAAATGTGGCTTTGACAGTGCTGGTCATTCGACGTTCTCGTGCTCTAAAAGCGAAAAAACCATCACAAATTTAGGGACAAAAGGGGGTGAACTGACACAAAGCCATTGAGTGCAAATGAACATAACGCATGCAAATCGACCGATTTGGTTCATTTAGACCTACCCAAGAGCGTTTTTCGGCCAACTTCACCGCTCGGAAAACTGTTGCGATTTTTTGTTTAAGTAGTGGACACTACTGTGTGTTGTCGACGTTCTAAAGGGGCTTTTTCCCGTGCGGCTCAAATCAATCGGCCCTATTTGCGCAGGTTTCGGCCCTCTGCCAACGCGAAATTTCAAATTTATCGACCGATTTCATCTACGGGGTTAAAAATAGGACCGCACCGAAGACCGACGAGCCCTACTCACGCCAGGTACCTCATCGTTTTGCTAAATGCCCATTAAGCACGATTCATTACCAGCAAATTAAGCCGTTTAACTTCCAAGTAGCAGCTTATAGTCAAATACGTATGATAATTGAATATTTTATTTACAAAATTCATACAAAAAATATCAAAACTCACTAATAATTATATATAAGCCAGATGTGGAAAGTTCCTGTTTGCAGTTAGAAAAGGCACAAAACCTTGTGAGTCCGTAAAGAATAACAAATGGGGGCCGACAGTGTGCAAACGATATTTCTTGCGATTACCTAACATTTATAACTTTTAACGACAAACAGAGAAGATTAGACGTTTGAATTAATACTCTGATATCACAGCGTAAATATAAGTTAATCTTAACAGCAACGAATTGCGTAGAACTAAATCAAATGGTTATTTTAAACTGTATTATTTAATTTTAGTAAATCTGTTGCTTAGACGAATGTTCAACATACAGCAAAGGCCGCATCTACGGGCTAACAGCTCTAAACTCCTAGAAGAGTTATGGTACCATTGTTCGCTTAAAGCTATAGACAAATATTAAATATGTTAACTGTTACAATACTCAAGTCGCTTATTATATGTTAATACTTAAGATTTATCACAGTAGTAAATTAGTAGAACCGTTTTAGCTGGAATGAACTTGGGTTTCCTTGTACACACACACTAACACTCTACCTGCAATAGCGCGGATTAAAGCCAATTCTCCCTGTTGCCACGCACATTCTTTACAGAGCAGTAAACTCGTTATCCACTCCCCCTCTAACCACGCCTTTCAGGTTCACCTTGGGGTTCCCCATCACTTTCATAGAGCTCCTCCCATATCCACCCCGGCTTCCAAAGCTTAGACCGCCGCTTTTCTTGTTGAAACTCTCAACAATGTTCCGTACGACGCTGCTGCTGCTCGCTTTTTCCTCTTGTACAGAGGAGGAGGGCGCATTGGGCTCAACGTGCAACGGCTTGAAGGACTTGCGCTCGAAAATCGGAGTTCTGCGTAACACCTTCGCTAGAATGCCCGAGGATTCCGCCTTGCACGGGCTGTCTTCTTGCTGAAACTTTCCCGTGCGTTGCACCAAAGGAGTTCTTCTGTGCATCGGATGCTCTTCAGATTCTCCGGTGTATCTATGGCGGGACAAACTGCTTTGCCCTGGAGCATCGCGGCTATTGAAGTCGCCTTTTCTATCCCGTGAAGCTTCGTTAACCAGAGACGAAGATGCCAGCTCTTTGCCCCTGTTGGAGGTATTCAAGTTCTTGACGAACTTGTTCGCAACGTCAGACAATGGCGTCTTCATGCTTCCCAAGCTGATGTTACTAGGAGTTTGCACGTTGCTCTGCTTGGCCAGCAGCGCATGCTTCTGCAGAGTGTCCTCCAAACACCTGCCACCCTCAGCTCCTTTTCTTTCAGTTATGAAGCGGTTCCGAGTGAAGTTCTTCGGCACTGTCCTCAAATGCACGCTAAAGTTGTTGCTGCGTAAGTTGTTCTCGCTGGCGGTGGCGAGAAACTGCGGCTTATCCACTACTTTCAGCTTGTTTGGGGACAGGTTCTTAACACACACGGACTTTTCGGCATCACGAGTGAACATTTTGTCATTGCGCAAAAAGTCCAAATTCTCATAGGTGGGACACGAGGATTTATCCACCACGTCCAAATTACCAGGAGTGATTAGTTTCCCGCGCTCATCACAATCGCTCACTAAACTATCCGCACTAGACACTTTTATAATGGGCCTTATCGGTTTCTCCTTGCTGGGGGCGCTCCCAGTCGATTGCACTTTAGTTAGGGAATTACTGCCCTCCACTGGCGACAACTTTTTATCCGCTTGGCTCTGCAGAGCTTCAGACGGTCGGCCTTCGGTTATGGGCTCCAATGCCGGGCTCCTGTGCCCGGAGGGTATCCCTAAAAGTCCCTCAATGTTTCCGCTTTCATAACAAATCTAAGCATTTACCTTCAGGCGTTGTGCTTCCGGAGCTACTAGGGCTCAGACCGCTGTAGTGGTGAATATCAAATACCAAATCGGGCGGTAACGGCATGCCAACAGCCAGATGCATGGATAGAGATTCCAGCCAGACCTCCATCACCTCAAAGGGCGGCCTGAAACAATTAAAGTGGTTTGGAGGCCTAAAGAAGGTGATAGATACGGGCAGGTACCTTTTATCTGGATTTAGATCAGTGCATAAGAACACGATCTTGTAGAAGGACTCGGGGCAGGCCTGGCAAAACTTTTCCTTGAAAACCGCCTGGTTGAGGCCGAAGTCGTTAGAGCGTGGCAGGAAGTCTGGGTCTGCCTGCACTCGCCCGATTATCTAAACCAATTGGCTCACTTAGCGACAAAAGGGTTTTCAACTAAGGCCGTTTACCTCGCACAAGATAATTCCGAAACTGAAAACGTCGACCTTTTCATCGTATTTGTTGCCTTTCATCATCTCGGGGGCCATCCAGTACGGGTTGCCTACGACAGTATAGCGCTTTTTGCGCTCCTGTCTGCTTTTAATGGCAGTACCTATGAGATTGGATTCAGTTTATCCTTATACCAACGGTTTGCTCAACTGTTCGAACCTTTAGGGGATCGTCTAACGCTATTGGTGGCATGGGAAATGATCCTGGCAAGGCCGAAATCGGCCACTATCACAGTCTTATCGTCACGGACTAGGCAATTGTGGGAATTGAGGTCCCTGAAATCGAAAAAAACGCGCCAGTTATCAACGGCTTTACTACCAATTCAGATTCAGTACCAACCTATGAATAATGTTCATGGAATGCAAGTAGGCCATCCCGGCAGCAATATCTTTGGCAAAGGAAACGCGCTGCTCCCAGGGGAGGGGCTGCGCAGAGTCGTGCAGCAGTTCGGTCAAAGTGCCACCTAAATAACACGATGGTCACTCTAAAAGTACCTTGTATGGCGCACAAAGTTACCTGAAATGTACTCAGTAACAAGGTGTAACTTTCGCTCCTTGTACAGAACCCCAATGAAGCGCAGAACGTTGCTGTGGTGTAACGATCTCAACACTGCAACCTGCAGTAAACAAGCATTAGTACGCATTATTTTATTTCACCAGTGTTTAGTGCACTTACTTCTTTTAGGAAGTTTTTCTGGGCTTCCTCATCCACTCTGTAAAGCTCCTTTAGCACCATGACTTCAGATGTGTCTTTGGTGGTTACCTGGGTGGCAACATTGAAGTGTTAGCACCTGATAAAGGGGACTTAACACTACTTACTTTGAATACTTGTCCAAAAAACCCCTGCCCCAAAAGTTCACCCTTCACCAAGTCAGAAGCTCTGAACACCCGTTGCGGGGGCCGAGACTCCAAGAAGGAATACGCTCTTGATAATTCCAGGCATCGCTTCGAGTTCGGCGCCCTTTTACAGTCGATAATTACAATGGAAGGGACATTTCAGATGCGATTTACTTACTCGTCCAGCAGTCGGCTCATGGACGAGCTCCTCTCCTTGTCCAAGCTTTGCGTCTTTTCCGCCAAGTGGTTTTTCCTTCTCAACTGACGCGACCTAGTCCCACTCATGTAGCCCTCATCTTTGCGCTTATAAAGGCGCTCCTTGTTGTTGCCCTTCCTGTTCTCTTTGCCCTCATCTTTGCAAATTATATTCTCGTTGCTCCTGCTCGTTTCGCCATCCAACGGAATGTTGATTGTATTGTTGTTGTTGGTTGGAATGTTGCTGTCACTCTTCGTGGTGGTCAAAGGGCTGCTGTTCGGCGCCAGGCTCGATGGCTGAGTGAGCTTTCGAGATATCGATTCTGGATCATGCTCAATAGTCAGCTGCAGAAATAAATATAAACGTCTGATCGTCAGCCACTGTGTGGCTATGTGGACACGAACACCTACTTGTAAAACCGTGTCTGAGTAGCTGAGAAGATTCTCAATGTTCTCCAGAGGGGTGTCGCCGACAGGGATGCCGTTAATTTCCAGAATTTTGTCGCCGATGTGCAAAGACATCAAGTCATTGTTCACGTCCAACCTGGAAAGGAACATAGGCTCGAATCACACACATCATGCGATTTTGGGACCGCGGCAACCTACCTAAAGCAAGGAATCGGAAAGCAGCAGGAGTTAATAGCTGTTGTTAGTAGGGCGAAGGCCACCTGCAGAATGTGGCCCTGCAGTTTCCACAATAGCCTGAATGAGGAAATTAGTCCAGTTATTTTATGATGACATGGCGATCTTCTGTGGTGCTTAAGGTTTTAAAGTTGATGATAGTCAACCACTTACTCTGAAATAGTAAAGCACTGATTGCTGCCGGACAACATGACATCCTTGGACAGTTTGATGCCCTTTTGCCCGGCTGGTACCTCAACCAACCGGATGGAATGCGGCTTCTTGGCAAATGGAAATCCTGCGGTTTTCTGCAGCGGTTGCATTTGTCGCTTATAGCACTGCCCGCTATAACACAGTAAAGCAGCTCAACGCCATTGCTCTGGACCAGTTCAGACTTACCAGTAGAGTTTGGATCGCTCCACCAAAGCATAAGAGTCTCCGTCGCCGATGAACGATCCGCAGGAGCCACAGCAGAAGCACTCCGGATGGAATTTGTGTTCCCCAGCCACCATGACTGGACCGGTGATAACCTAGTGGGTAAAAATTGATTGAAAAAACAAATGGACAGACCCTGAAGATATTGACCTGGCTGCACTGCTGGCAGGCTTCTCCATAGCGAGCCCAATAGTCGTCCTTGCAGAACAGTAGGCCGTCCTTCTCAAAGTACCAGTTAGAGAGGGAGGCGTCGCAAGCGGAGCACCTGCAATTCTGCAGTTAGGCTGAGAAACCAAAGGAGGGCAAGCAATCACCTGAAGCAGTCCATATGCCATTCCTGACCCAAGGCGGAGATAAACTCCTCGTCGTCCAGAAGATTGAGGCAGCCGGAGCATACATTTGAGATCAGGGAGGCATCAGGCTCTAAAGGAGTAATGTTAAAACAGCACCAGAGAATTTGCAAAAAATTTAAAAAATTAGCATTTTTGTCAAATTTCAACCGTTAGAAAGCTCTGAACTTATACGTGCGTACATTCATAAACATGCAAAGAACAGGAAGAACAATACAATCAATTACATTGTTTATAACAATGGGTCAAGTTTGTTGATGTTCGCGGCGTTGTCAGAGCTATTCTCCATTCTAACAAAAAATCAGGTATCTGAACAAATACAAGGAGGAATCCCCCAAACCGCTAAAATTATCAAAAGAACTTGCAAAGCCAGATCAGTTTGGAGCTGGAAAACATGAAGAAAATCGAAAAAACTGGCGAAATGTTGACAAGTCTGGCACACTGAAATAAAACATCTTGTTTACCATGTAGGAATTTGACGGATATTTGAGCGATTTGAGAGAAAAACTAGGCTTCCGGGTGGGAACTTTAGGGCCCATTGGTATCGGTGAGAAAACACCGAAGTCTGGACCGCTCTACAACCCGGAAAATATAAAAACGAATACCATACATCTGCGACACTTCAGAACGTCCCACGCACAACAAACAGCAAACTTTTCAATTAAAACCAAGAGAAAAGGCGTTTGCACAGCGCATAAGGAATTCAGTGAAAATGGGCTAAACGTACCGTTTTGCAGGATTTCTTCCACATCTTCCTGCATTTTCCAGTCACTAATAGGGTTCAGGAATTACATCGATCAAGGAAGCAGTGTAGCAGCAGTGACATTTCAGACTAGCTGAAGTCCTGATCACAGTTTGCCACAATGCAGGAAAACAGCAAACTCCCTGTAAAATCTCAACAAAAATGAACTTTTGCGAAGCAAGCTAAGTGCCTTGCAGAMATTCGCATAAGGAACATCAAGCATAACAAATAATGAGCGGCCTTATTTAAAAAAAAATTACCCGCGTGTAGACCGGACTTAAGACAGTAAGACAGTCATAGAGAAAGTAAAATAATTATTTTACTTACTCTATGGTTTTACTGTCGTCACTGGCGTCCAGTGAAACGTCAATTGTTTGTAAACTAGAAACCAAATCCAMATAATGGCATAATTTTCGTTTTTTGAGGAAAATTCACTTAATGGACGTGCCACAGCAAGGCGGCTTAAAGGGGAACGTTTTTGCAAGCATTGAGCGCCTTGCTGACTTTAAATATTCTGTCACTTTTTATTAGTTTGTTCCAATTGTTGTTGTGAACCTGGAAAATCTAAGATGGTTCGGGGTAAGTGAATAATTACTAGTCATTAATGACCACTGGTTGCTTATCGAAACAGCGGTCATCTAACTGGCTATTTCCGAAGCCGATGTCCCACTTTGAAGGCAGTTTTCAGTGAAACTCGCTTGTGCTAAAAACATAACCTGCAATTTGCCCTCAACTTAGTATTACTTTATAAAATCCATTATTAGTGCATGAAATAGATTGGGCCAGAGGCCCTCTTTACATGGATGGTTCGTCAGTCTACGATCAACCAAACTGCAGCCGGAATAAGACAGGAACAAATCAGGGTTTGGGGCTGTTTACTGAAAACCCAAACGCTTCGTCTCTAGTTCACAGAATCTGAGAAAAGTCTTGTTTAGCATCGGGCGAAGAATCAACAGATAAAATGTCGTGCAGGCTGCGCTTTTGTAGCTTGTTTGCCTGTGCATCAGACACTCGGTGATCTATACTCGAGGGGTTGCGTTCCGCGACTGTTTTGGATTCTCTGGGGGTGGCGACGCTGGCAGGAACTGTGAATTGGAAAGCAGTAGCGAGGTATTTCTGCCACCACCGCCTGAATACTCACAGCCTTTCGAAATGCTGGTCTTCAGGCGCGAAAGCAGTAAGTTCTTCGACCTGTCATCGGTCTGTTCGGGCAATCGATTTCGTTTATCCATATGGTACACTGTAGTGGTTTCACTATTCTCAATTGCCGGCATCTGGCGAGTAAATGTTTATCAGACTGCCCCAATTCGCCACTCAATATACCTTGGGCATAGCAGCAGGAACCTGGGAAGCGGGCCTGGATCTGTCTTCCCTGCTGGTCGAAGGGTCTGTGGAGCTCCTTCTTGAACTGTACGAAGCAGCCCTGGTGCTGGGAACCGACAGGTCGCTGCGCCCTGCCGATGAGGATGAGCCGTCCAAAACGTTCCATCCATGGCGGTGAAATTCCTACCTGGCGTTAAGCTGCTGTTTTTTGACCCAGGCGGTTTGTTCCCATTGGCCGGATTGGGATCAGTAATTTGTCCCATACTAGTCAGTGTTTTCGCATTATCTGCATCTCCCGTAGATTTCTGGTCGGTTGCTGAATGCTTCGATTCACTAAGCGCGTTGGTGCCGTTGGTTGCTGCGGCCTGTTGTTTGGTCGGTTTTTCAGGCGCGTATGTGCACGAACAATCGCCTAGACTGGCTTTTCTTGAAACGTATTTTGTTGGGTCAAAAACCAGATGTGTGAGAAAGGAAGCTTACTCAGTGGGTTTCATATACAGCATCTGCACTTCCTCGCCTTCAGGGCCCGACGTGCCAGTTTTCTTGTTCATGATATCGTCTAGTTCCTGTTGGCTTTTCTCGACGATCTGCTTCAACTTGTTGGAACTGTCCACCAGCTTGTCGTAGTGGGATTTGATTTCCTCTATGGTCTTGTCGTAGTTGTTTTTCGCCTTGATTCGCATCGAGAGGCTTTTGTTGATCTGAAGACTCGATTTCAGCGATTGATGATTGATGAAGAGGCCAGCTACTCACCAGGCACAGCTTATAGGTCAGTCTTTCTATGTCCGCCTCGATTTTTTTTCGTTCTTGATACTGCTTTTGGATGATGTTCTCCAAATTCCTTCTTTCTTCCTCGATGCCGCACAGATACTTGACGATGTCCTGATTGTTCACGTTCAGCTCTTTGCCAGCTTTCTCGATGCAGTCGACCATTTTCCAAGGGGCCGCTATCAGATTATTGGGAACTTCTACACTATAAGTGCATGTTCAATTTTGACGTACTTCACTGCGCCCTTTCAACCTGCCCAGGTGCTCACTTGGCCTTACCGTGTTCTGTTATTGTCAATTCATTGCAGCATCGGCAAACCTGCCTTCCACACCTTTGCAGATACAGACCCGAAGACAGAAGTTGTTGACTATGGGCAGTCTGGTCGGCACGCCGCCTACTCCACATCGAATCGAGCTGCGAAGCGACCACAATGAGGAAAACAACTGCAAAAAGTCCCTAGTGAACCACCCTCCGGCTCCCAAAGCCAGGAAAAAGTGAGCGTGAAAAAAACAACCAACCATTCATCTAACGGGTGCGTTTTGCAGATTACTAAGCGACAACGCAGTCAATGGCACCCGAAATGGGGAGCTAAAGGGGCTGGACATCAAAGAATCGAACAAAAATGTACAGCTAAAATTAACAGGTAACTCACCATTGAGGCGAGGCGAACAGTCAATAACTCTGTCTGTTTATAGAGTATTTCCCGGTAAGGCGATCGGTAAGGAAAACGAAAACCACCGTGTTGGAAGAGCAGCAGCTGGCTCTGGAAAACCTCGTCAGAAGGGGCGCAGAAGAAGGCCTGGAGGTGGGTGATGATTAGTTGTGGAACCCCAGAATTTCAATGTTGATTCAATTCAAGGTGAGGCTGTTCGGAAGCAAAGGCCGAGGCGTCGTGGCTGCCAAGGAGTTTTCCAAAGGAGAGTTTGTTGTGGAGTATAGCGGCGAGTTGGTGGACATAATGGAGGCGAAGGACCGGGAGGAAGTCTACGCTCAAAACGAGACCGCCGGCTGTTATATGTATTATTTCAAGCACAACGGGCTGCAGTATTGGTAATTTGTGCACCGATATAGATATAGTTACTGGAGTAACTCCAAATTGTTTCCAGCATTGACGCCACTAAAGAGACTGGGAGATTAGGCCGATTGGTGAACCATTCCCGGTCCAACCCAAACCTGGTGACCAAAACCATAATGGTTGATAAGAAGCCGCGATTAGTTCTTCTCGCAAAAGACGACATAAGAAAGGGCGAAGAGGTTTGTTGGTTTAGTGCTTGAAGAGCCATTGAAACGGCTGGCTTTTTCAGATCTTGTACGATTACGGCGATAGGTCGAAAGAGTCTTTACAGCACCATCCATGGTTGGCCTATTAATTCAGCAACCCTTTCCACGCCTCTGTTAAAGGCTTAGAGCTTAGATCATGAGGAGTAGTACTTTGTATTTATCGATTTTATGGCAAATTCCACATCAATCACTACCAAAAGGTGTTCAACGGTTTTGTCTTTCTCAGTTTTACTAATATGTTTTAACGGAGTTGGGCTCGCAGTCCAGCACATACGTGGTTGTTTATGCGTGATTGGAGTTGTACGGGGTGGCCAAATTTGCCTGTTTATTTGAAGAAACCCGTGAGGTAGTGGCGGTTTTTCCAATCCCTCACTGCCTTACGGGGGCGAGGCATTTGACTTCGATAATGTTGGTCTGCATCATCAGCAAATTTGGCCAATCTGCTTGTTCTCAGTAGTTTAACTATGTTGAAAAGTGTTTTTTGCCTAAACCTCTTGCGTCGGCTCTTAAATTTATCGGGCAAAGGATTATTCAATTCGCAACACTTCCGTAAATTGTCCTGTAACGTGTATTTTTGAATGTTATCATTGCTAATCGGTCAGATAAGGTCATTAGTGAAATTGTTGGAAAACGTAATATAATTGTAGAGAGGGCTGCGGCTAGTTCAACTCATTTCCCAGTCGTTTTTGTTTATGTAAATTGCTGTTTGAACTAGAGTGTGAGAGCAATAAAAGCGAGTAAACGAAAAGCAGTTTCCTGTAGTGCGAAGAAGGGAAAATGCAGGAAAAAATCGGAAAGACGCGAAACTGCTTCCGCCCCCTATGAATTCATTAATGAATACCTGACCTATGCTATCCTGGGCGCCGCACCCCTATGCGTATGCGCGAAGCGCCAGCATGACGTCACGCGCGTCGATAAGGGAAACCTAGTTAGAGCCGCTGTTTTACCGAAACAACTGAATAGTGCCCATTTTCCTTGTCAGTTCCACTTTTCACGATAAAGTTCCATTTAGAATAGCACCATGTAAGTACCATCTGTTGGTTGTTGTTTGTTTGTGCGATATGCGATCGGGGGGGCAATTTAGGGCGCCGACTTGACGCGGGGCGAATCCCCATTTTTTCGGGCTCAGTTCAAAGGCAACTTAGCGCGGCACATTGGATTTAGGTGCCTTGGCCCGTTGCTTTCTATTTTAATTAAATACACCCCGGTGCGATAGAAGGACTATTGATTAAATCCGCAATGTTAGTGCTCTCGTGGGTGGCGTGAATCCGATAGTTTATCAGCGCTCTTTCAATTGCAGCGAAAATGACTGCGGAATGTTGGGGCTTATTTTCAGCCAGTGGAACCTGCATAGTTTTTATTGCCATTGTAATTTTATCGTGGAAAATTGATTTTGAAATGGTTTGTTTCTGTTGGCACAAGCGCATTACTAGGCCAAAGTTCAAGTTGCGAATTAATCTTTAAGCCTCAGAATCATGTTCCCTCATTCCTGTTTCTGCATGTTGACGACTCGCAATCACCGTTCCGCGGCTGTTTGCGTTTATTTTCATTTAATCACTTGCTTCGCTGAAGCAAGTGCCTTTTGTGACAGAAAGCTTGCAAAACAGCATTGGGTGGGCGGCATTCGGCTAATAAAAGCGTAAAATATCAGGGTGTTACCCATAAACTGTTAGCAGACGTGATTCATTATTACAATGATAATAGAATTTAACAACTAACTAACTACTTCTTCCAATGACACACAACAATGTCAGTCAAGCATAACCGGCAACATTGCACAGAGTTACAGGTAACTGTACTGTAATATAAACTACAGCAAAAGTATACACAGGGTGGCTCAGATTTAACTGGGATTTAGACATTTAGTAACACTAAAGATTAAACACCTGAGGCTTCCAGAACGCACCAGTGTGACAAATTGAACGTGTCACTGTCATAAAATATGTATTTGTATTGTATAAAATACGTATTTTCATTAAAAAGTAAACGACAGGCTTTTTCGATGAATTACGTAGGTTTATAGAGAACTATTGATCATAAATTAAAGTGTACTTGCAATTTGTGAATTCGAACTTTGTTCAGTGTTACAAGTTCAGTCTCCAAGTCGTTCAAATGGTCTATTTTTGGCACTCGCCCATGTTGCACAAGCAAAACACGATTTTTTTAAAGATTTTATGCAAAATATGCATCTTCTACAAGCACCGTACCGTGAAAGCAGCACTTGGATTTTCAACACTCACAGTTTCACTTGCATATGCATACGAAAATACGGTTTTGAAAAATTACAAACGTCAAAACATGACAATTTCAAAAATGTCATTGACATCAAATTTTAAATATGAAGTTGACGGCTGTTATTTGTGGCAATTTTAATTTATTATAACGTATTATTCGTGTTATGGCCTTTATTCGAATAAAAAGTATTGTTCGAAACGAGGGCGATAATCCATTTTTCGCCCTTGTATCAAAAACGACTATCTTAATCGGAAATTTAGGTCGGCAGGTGATACTTTAGGAGCGGGAGGTCCAGGGGCTGGAGGAGACGATGGTATCGTGGGCGGTCCGAGAACGCCCCAACAAATGGCAGCGGAAAAGAGGCTGAAACAGACCCAGGCGCAGGTCGATGAGGTGGTCGACATTATGAAAACCAACGTGGAAAAGGTGCTGGAAAGGGATCAGAAGCTCTCTGAGCTGGACGACAGGGCTGGTGAGTGCCACCAAGGCAGACTCTGAAGCTGTTTCGATAATCGATTGTTGTAGATGCCTTGCAGCAGGGCGCGTCACAGTTCGAACAGCAGGCGGGGAAACTTAAACGAAAATTTTGGCTGCAGAACTTAAAGGTAACGCGTGCGAATCAATTGAAATGCGCCCATACTATTGTTTATATTACTGTTCGATTGCAGGCGATGATCATAATGGGCGTGATTGGGTTGGTAATTTTAATCATCATTATCAGTAAGTAGATTTCAATTATCTTAGGTGCGAATTCATTGGCCACCGAAGCCCCTTAAGCTGCTTTCAGCAGCAGGAAGCTCAAGAGTAACAATTTTTTTCTCTTTAGTGAACTTCATGTAACTGTCATAAGCGCGCCCCCGACAGAAATTCGGTAATTTCTCTCCCCCTACTTATATATATTGTGTGAATTTGTGGACATTCAGGGCCCACCAAAAGGGTGTCGCTTCCGGTGAATTCTCAACAGAAAGAACACTCTTTTGGGACGCTCTCTACTGCTTCGACTGTCTGTCTTTCTGTGCATAGAGACTTTTGCCTTTAGAATCACCCCCTTTTTCATCTTGTCGATTAGCCACCTATTCACTGATGGAGTTGCCAATTTTTACACACCGGCATGTCGATAATAGTTGCTTTGTTGCGTTCCAAATTTCACAATTTAACGGCTTTTTCCGTTAAGATGTGGGCTTTAAAAGCAACATTCTTAAGCGTTGGCAACTCTAGGTTCATAGCTGTGTTTCGTGCATGTGACAAGTATTTTTTGGTAAATGCATGAACCAACTAGAGTGGCGCGAATCGCAACAATCCAATTAGGTGTTTGTTTGAGTGAGCTTGTGCATGTTGGAAGCCCACAGCCACCATTGCGCCTAGACTAAACTATTTCCGATTTTTCTTTTGCAGTTTGAATTGGCAAAAAAAGAACGGCCAACCATTATATAAATATAAACATGCACAGTGTCATCATCTCAACATATTTGCATTAATTCAATAAGACTGGGTATATTTTGGTCTACAGTTTGAGCGTTTCCAACTCACTTGCCTAATGGGTCGAAGAGCATCCGCAGAGCAACAAATGTGCAGAACATCGAAAACTAGTTCTAGTAAAATCAGTGTACGCCAAAATATACCGCTTCTTCAGGGTAAATGTTACCAGATTATTGTCAATGTAAAAAAGCGATTTTCAATAACAATTGAAAGTTGTACTATATTGGATAAGTTAAATCTCTGTAAAATGTTTAGGACGCTTGATAAAGGAGTCTAGAGATAGGTCATAGAATTGTTTAAATTACGATTATTTGGGACGTCTACCAGACCTGATTTGAGGTCGTACGGTGTGTAGCAAGAACACGAAACCACTTTTGTCTTAACTCCAACTTCCTCCTTTTGGGACCCCAAAACTAGGAAATGTTTCGTGAAAACCATCGGTTTTAAAATTGCGTTGCGACATTCTACAGGGTGGCCCAACGTAGACTACACTCTTGCTCGCGGCAGCTGGTGGATATAGAAAAAACCGTCCAACGCACTAACTTTGATTTCGCAAGTCACACTTTGTAGTTTTAGAGCGCAAAGTTGGCGTTTTTGGGCGTTCTTTTTCTAAACCTACCTGCATTGACCATAATTATCGATGAGCCCCGCTGTGCCCATAGGGAATACTGTTTTTCCATAACATTAAATGTGTTCTAGTCAATAACAATGTAAAAACCTATACATATAATATAGACTAGTTTTGTTTGTAAATGGTCGAGCAAGCTCGCGACCACTGTTTGAGAAATCAAGGTGGTTGGGGGCACATTTGATGTACAAAAGTCAGATGAGCAGCGTGAGCAGCAAAGCAACCGCAACCACCAGGTAAATTTCGTACAAGAAACATTTGTCCAGCATGACCTATATTACATCTTACTCATATAGGGACCTTTCTAACACATTTTCTGCTGCTTGAAATCATAACATCTACTACTGCATTTCACCCTCATCATTAAACTGGCTTGTTTCAACACAGAAAGACAGACAGAGCTACACTTCAGCAAAAACATATTTAGCGTAAAAGCGATTGCCTACCGAAACAGTTTCCCCATTCAGTTGTTACTGAGCGCAAACGGTCGTTTCCTTCGGAGAGTGAAGCCAAAGGGGCCGACTTACCCATTTAACCCACTTTTTTCCAGTGAAATTTATGCCCGAGGAGAAAGCGGCTCCGGCTGTTCCGGCCGTATACGCCCCGATTAGCCCAGTGGAGCCGGCGGTCGCCCCGGCCGATACTAAAATCGCCCCGGTCAAGTCTTAAACGGCTCTGATGGGATCGTCTAGTACGTTCAGAGGATTCTTATGGAAGGTTTATTCGTTTCTATGGGCTTCACCTCCTGATTGATTTCCACTGACGGTGATATTTCTAACAATAATACAGACGCCTTTATTGCAAGTTTCCGTTTTTAGCCCCAACATGTAATATAGTGCAATTAAGTAATGACGAAATAGCGTTTAACATATGTAATGCAGTGTATATTTTAGAAATAGCGTTCAGCAAAACTGCTTTTCTATTCGATTTTTATGAAAATCTGTTAAGTTTTAAGGCGGACGAACTCGTGTATTACACATCTATAATCTCAATGTGATGAAGTTTACAGTTCTTTTTCAATAGATAAGTGTCATGACTATGGGACTTTAGGTGGATATTCTTTCGAAATTAGTCTCAGCATTTCATGTATATGGTTTAACATATTGAAAGTATACAGATTAAAGTGTATCCTTGGGACTTTTATTTCATTTCCAGCAGTTAGACCTGAGTGTATCATTTTAGTCTACTGGTGTTTTTTTTCTGTGGGTTCCATGTTCGTATTGCAGCTTGGCCCAAATCCCCTTGCACATTCTGACTAGTCGTTCATCTATAGCAGCTTGGCGCTGTGCCAAATGGTACTCTTGTCTGATGATTCTGCTTGCTAGCTGGAACCTCTTCTTCTGGATTAAGCTGAGGCTAAAGTAGAGCCTACACCTGGCCTGGACATTTGGGTCGCCTATTCTGGCTGCCAATATCAGTTGTTGCATCGATATTCTACCTGCCGTTTCGGCGCAATTTTCGAAATAGTCCCCTAGTGCCGAAAATGCCCCTCCTAGCGTTGATAGCCAACTAAATGCGTAATCAACTTCGCACCTCTCCCTAACCATTCTGTACACTCTTGCATTCCTAAAAACTTGTACGGTTCAGATTGCATGGGTTCAGCAGGGCACGCACACCTTACCAGTTATAATCTATTAGATCTTTATCTGTGGGGGTCAAGATTAATACATCAGGAGCTCGCCACCTTTGAACAGTGTCCAAAACACCGCGTCGATAAACGGAACTTTCATCCATAGCTTTAACGAAATAATGCACAAAAACGCAGTCCAGTTTCAGGGCCTTCAGCGGCCGTTTTGGCAGATTAACAGGCCTTAAATGCCTGCAGTTTTCTGCACTCAAATCAATTCTCTCATAGTGATAGAGCTGGGGGCTGCAAATCCACAGAAAGGTGTCCATATATGAACACTGTGCTGTTCTGGAAAACTGTATTGTTTCTGCTTTACCGGTTTTAATTCAAGTCAACTTTCAGTACCGGGGTTATGTGAGCTGTCAGTAGAAGTAGGATTGTAAACAAAGAAGAAAAACTAACCTCAGTTTTCCACTTCAGTCTAATTGTGGTTTCTAGGACTTTTTTTAGCCAATAATTTGCCTACATTTTACTGATTCACTTTCTGGCCTTCAAGCGTGGATGCAGAGCCTCTCTAGAATGACTCATAAATACAAAAGTGTAATTTGAGAGCCGTTCACAGAGAAAAATCAACAAGGCGCCACTGGCTTGCTGGTGTCCTCACATGTTCAGCAGTGTTTTTTTTGCTATACGTTGGTGGCACTGCTAGTATTAATGCGTATGATTTCTGCTATGTTTGTGCGGAGAAATTAAACGGTTTTAAAGTCTATTAGGCGTCGAAATACTGTTGACCGCAATGTAAATTATCGTCGGCCATCGGGACGTAGTGGAACTAGCGAAGCCTTATAAAGGAACGGTGTGTTTTGTTTGGAGACGCCATTTTTTCCATCTAACTGTCAATCAGTGGAATGGATGATGTCCAGGCATTGAAAACGTAAATATTGGAAAAAGCCCCACGCTATCCAGTGAGCCCTTACCCATGCCCATTTCGGTGCTGTCGTATTACCTCGTCTGGTTGTCGAACAAGACGGCGAAGCTGCTGATAAAAGCGAAAATACACAATATGGACATGTGAGGACCTACTTCTTGGAGACATTCACCAAAGAGATTGTTTAACAATGTAAATGGATAACGGCGATTCAAAGATTATGATGCTGAGGCCCCGGAAGAGTCTTATAAGCCAGCTGAACAGTTGCATTACCTGCGGGCTATGTAAAGGCTACTTCATTGATGCTACCACAATCATCGAATGTTTACACACATGTAAGTGTTGTCTCCTGCCGTAGCCAAACAACACTCTAAAGCAACTCTGTTCCTTTCAGTTTGTCGCAGTTGCATAGTCCGGTACCTGAATACACACAAGTATTGCCCAATTTGTGATGTGCAAGTGCACAAAAGCAAACCACTGCTCAACATTAGGCAGGACAAAACGTTACAGGCTCTCGTTTACAAGTTGGTCCCAAGATTGTACCAAGGTGAGTCTGGAGCGTAGTGCTTAGGTGTAACTGACCCTTTGGTGACGTTTCAGATGAAGCAAAAAGACGGAAAGCCTTTTACGAGGCCAACCCAACAGCTAAACCATCCCCCTCTGAGCAGGAGATATCGGCCAGGTTTGACTACATCTTGGCCCCAGATGAATCCGTTGATTTCACTTTGAGTTATACCGGGAGCTGTATTAAACCAAGGTACGTGGCTAGTGGCAAAATCAATCTCACAGGTGGCAGGCAATCACGTATATTTGATCAACTGCTCAAAGAACTGGAACGGCATTAGAATTGTATTAGAGATGTGACTTCTACGGGTAGTTTGGCCCTTCCTTTCAAGCCCACTAATTCAATGACAATCATGCTGCGTACCACTTGGCCCCCGACTTGTTCCACCAGTTGGCAGGCGGCATTTAAAGTGCCCCCAGTGGCCAACAAGTCGTCCACTATGAGCACCCGCTCCCCTGGCCGGATGGCGCCTTCTTGAATCTCCACAGTATCCTAAACAAGGAGCAATTAAGTGCGAATGACTTTGGGGTGCAGTTTGCCCTAAAACCGACCTCTCCGTACTCCAGGGCGTATTTCAAACTGCGCACTTTACCAGGCAATTTGCCCTTCTTCCGAATGGGTACAAACGGTATTTGTAACTCCAGAGCGATGAGGGGCCCAAGTAGGAACCCCCGGGCGTCCAAGCCCACGACGCTCTGCACTGCTGGCGCTATTTCCTGGGCCTTCTTTGTCAGCAACTCCTTAAGTAGGGCGAATAGTGGCGGGTTCTGTAGCACGCTGAATAAGTCCCTGGAAATTCCAACATTTGCCGATTGGTCATGGACTTTGCATGTCTTGTCTTGGTAACCGGTTAGTTGACAGTGTAAAAATCAATACATGGGAGGCCTGAGCTTGGGCGAAGGCTCACTATTTTGCAAATTCCACCAATTGGAACACATCTGAACAAAAACAGTTCGACTTACGCGGCCATTGTTTGAAACTGGTGCGTTTTTAAGACTACTTAAACCGTCGCAAAGCCAGACAAACTCGCCGGATTTAAATCTTTACCAGTTAGCGTGGCCTAAACATTTGGGGTTTGTGGTAAAACACCCATAACTGTCATAACGACGAAAACTTTTGTCAATCAACTGTTTTTTGCTTGGGTCATTTTCTAGCAAATAATTAAAACTGTCTTTTTTACCTGTTCTTTGAGCAAAGCAAAAACTGCTATTTCTATGACTTTTCTGAAAACCCGACAACCGTGCACATTCATGCGTGACCATCCGAGACCAAAGCTGCATTTCCTGCAGGGAAACGCGCTTTTAGCACATCGGAATCACCTTTCAACTTACCTGAAAAGCACTCCAGCCACCGGAAAATCCGGATAACTTTTCACAGCCTCTTTGATCAGTTTCAATTTGTCTTCATCGTTCAGTTGTGCCATTGTCGCTGAAAGAAGCCCCTCCAGTTGCAATCAACAATTAACTGACAAAAGTCACCAAACCTGACAATCTCTTGGCTTTTATCTATCGGAAATGGACTTTGTTGTTGTAAATGGTTTGGTCGTCTTGCTCTCTCAGTTCCAAGTGCTTGGTTATTCAACCTTAATATGGTCCTCCAGTGGCGGCGTCAATTTTTTTTTAATCTTATCTACTCAACGCGTAGTTTGATTGTTAAATATTCAATTTTCTTTTTTCCCACGACTGGTTGGTTTCCACTTTGTGACCAGCCCGCGTATTTGTCAAGTAAGTATTCGCGAGTTCAACTATGAGGGCGCTGTGAGACGTCAAATTACTCGTTGTCGAGTGACAGTTGAGTGTCAGTAGTGTCAATTTACTACCTAACTTGTAGTTATTATTTAGCCACAAGGGGGCGTCTGGTCTTTTGGACTCGCAAATTTGAAAAACCTACCAACTGTCCATTGTGTTACGGGGGGTCGTCCATTAGTAACCCATGGCAATTAGGTTCTTTTAGAATTTTTTTTTTTTTTGATTTAGGTACATACGGTGCTCCAGTGCAGTGTCAATTTCTCATTTGAAGAAACTGATCCACGCCAAATATGAACTCACTGATCTGCACAAAGTGGACGTGTTTTTCAAGGAAGACAATCTCGACTATTCACTGACCCTTATTGATGTGGCCTACATCTACTCATGGAAAAGGGTACGTTTTTAGTAGGCGCCCAAAGAAGCGTTTTAGTGTTTGTTCTTGCACTTGCAGAAAAACCCGTTAGATCTGACCTACAAAATCTACGAGAGCAGAGTGAAAAAAGCCAAGCTGGAATGTTCAGAATGTGAGGAGCAAACGGCGTCATCCACGAACTGGAAAGAGGTTCAATTGAGAATAAGTGAGAATGGCGAGATGTCGATAACGGGAATCCAGGAATCCGGAATGCTCCAGCTGCTAGAAGCCACGGAAAACTTCAAAAGCGAAGTTGTAATAACCGAAAGTAAGCTCCTAGAGACAGCGGCGGATGCACAGAGTGGCCCCGGAGACTCAAAAGTGTCTGATGCTGCCAAAAAACCGCTTCCAGAATTGCAGTACATCGGCAAGGCTGCCAAGCTGAATGTGAACGGCGCAAGCATAGCAGCCAAGGCATCGGCAGACCTCAACCACACTCCGAGCACAAGTTCTTCATCAACTGCAGCGGAATTTAAAGTTCCAAGCCTGCCGTTTCCTAAGCCTGTAGAACTGAGCGCGTCTTTGAATTTGAATAGTGAGCTATCTGTGATGCCTTTGAGTAGTACGAGTTGCGTGTCGCTTTCTTCTTGTGGTGGTACTACAACAGTGTTTAGTACGATCAGCAAAAGCATGTGCAGCACGAAGTCGGACAACACTAACTCTCATGCGGTGATAGATTTGAGGTAAAGTGCGCGAATTATCAACGCATCCTGAGCTTATTTGTGTTTGGTTTTCAGCACTGAGAACAAGACGCTGCTGAACGTAGTCAACCCGGCAGTTGAAGTAAACAGTGTGCTGAAGCAGAGCAACAGCTTGAAAAGGAGGTGCGACGAAGCGAGAAAAACGACGCCGGACGTTCCCACCAAGCAGCCAAAACCGACAATTCTGAACCACTCGTTGGGTCTGACGAATATGAAGAAGCACTCGAAGTACGCGCGGACCAACGGGGAGCTCAGACATGCAGATGTGACTGACAAATCGCTTCCCATTCTGACAATCACGCCAGACAGCGGCGGCTCGAAGCCGACACTAAGTAGCAAAAGTTTGAATTACGCGCAGCTGAGCCGACAGCCGAAGCCGGCCATACAGCGGAAAAACAGCAATTCTGGCAACGTGCCATGTTACATGTCAAAATTGCCAGACTGTATCAAAGTGCATGAGATGAACGGAGGAAGGCCAGTAGTTGATTTTACACTGGATAAATCTGAGGTAATTCGGCGAAATTTATTCAGCCAGAATTCTAACTGGGTCTGTCTTATTGCAGGGCTTGATTCCGACGCATCAGTCGCCGGGGAGGTCATCTAGTGGCCACGTTCATACCCCTATCATAACACCAGCTCATCTTTCACACCGCCAGCATCTGAGCGCATTGAAGCAATCGCTTGCAGAAAATCCAACCGAGGAGCAAGTGGGGGCGCAGAACGATTTGCGATCCACATCGCAAAATGTCAAGGATTCCGAAAAACCTGCAGATGCTGAAAACCAGCAGGGGGACACGCCTGTTTCCTTGTGCCAGATGCCCACGATGAAGACGAAACCGAGCACTTCCATCGGATACAAGACGTTGAGGGATCCTCCGAAAAGTTGGAATTCGCAAATCAATTCTCAAATCGCTCGGGTGAACCAAAACGCCAAAGCGCAGCAGTTGGCCAACGCTGCAGCTGCAGCTGCACAGTGTGCCACGGGAAATGGCCAAGGCCGATCCGCTACTGACTTGAAGACGGTGAGACCAGCAAAGTTCTTCAAGGGCCGAAACATGCCTCGTTACTTAGGTAAGCGACGCCTGGTTTTAATAGGGCCGATCTATCGATGAGGTTTTCAGGGAATCCTGCTTCCGGCGTTAAGCCGATGTATCAGGTTCAGGTCAGTCCCGAAAAGAACAAGGAACAAACTGCTTCGAAGCCGGAAAAGAGCGAGATTAAGAAACACTCTATCGTGAAAATTGACCCCAAAACGTTAAAGCCGATTAGTGAGAAGGCGCCGGACACTGTAAACTTGAGCAATATGAGCAATATTGGCAATTTGGAATCGGCTGCGCCGCACTCTAGTGAGGAATCGCGGTACGTACACACGAGTTTTGGGCCGGCAATTGCCGACGGTACGCGTTTTTTCAGAAGTGGGTCCCCGGTGAACGATTTGAAGATCAGTTTGAGCTCCGTGCCGATCTTCAATCCACTAAAGTTGCAGCAGACTTCGCCGCGAAGCGGCAGGAAGTCCCCCAGAAGTCCCCATTCACCGAAAACTAAGCCCAATTCCACTATAGGTAAGGAAGAGTTTGCCGCAGTTTTCCAGCTACATTTTTAAACTAATTCGAACCTTTTGGATTCCAGCTAGTACAACAACCACTGCATCCAACTCCTCGTTGAAACAGCAACGGGACAAAACCAGTTTGACGTTCACTCGATCCAACCCGTTCATTCCGAACTTGGGCAGCCCAACGCTGAACCCCAACCAGTTTCTCTATCCAGCTGGCGGCTACCCGAGCTACGATCCGCGATTTATGGCCGCATGTCATAGGTACCTCTTCTACCCGTATAAGTACCGCATATGTTAAAAACTACTTTGTATCCAGCTTGTGGTACTCGCGAAGAATGGCTGAAGCAGGCTTGGTGCCTCCTGCCTTGCCCGCCGGCTTTGGCCTGAACATGAGCGTATCTTCATTGTCTTCCACGAACAGCCAGAATCCATTCAATGCCGGCGTAAGTAGAAAAAAGCCTTCTTACATCCGCCAGATAACCGATCTTGCTTTCTAGGTGGGACCCAAGTACTCGACAGCAAGCAGGGCAGCCAATCCAGCAAGTCAGAGAAGTAGCAATTCAAAATCATTGGGCAGAAAGGTGAAGGAATTCGCACCGGTGAAGAATGAGAAGAGTTTAGAAGTGATCTTGGAAAAGATCAATCAAAACAAGGTCAAGGAAATGATGGACGTCAAGGGCACCGATGGCAAAGCAGCAGCAACAAATGGGTTGGTCTTGCAGCGACCGCCCAGTCAGCCTAGTAATGGCGATTTGGACGCTGCGGAGGTCCACTCGAAGAAGACCGAATCAACATGTCACATAAAAGAGTCCTGTAAGTCAAGTGAGTAAGACTGGCCTCACTGTCTTGCTTTGATTTATGACCGCCTTACTTTTAGCAGGAGCTGCTGCGCCTTCAAGCGAAGAGTCCGTCACGTCGCACAGTATACGCGATGAGCCTTTAAAGCCGGCAACCATTCAAAATGACACAAATATCAGTGCAAATACAAATTTGAAAACAGCGGATGAAGAGGATAGATCTAAGAGGGAGGAGCGATTACGAGATGAATCGAATGAGATGAAGGCTAAGGAGTCAGCAGTGTTTAAAGTGGCGGCAAGTAAAAGTGGCGAAACAGTGGGTTTGAAAAGTGAGAAAGCTGAAGGGCACAGTGAAAACGGGATTTCGGCACGATCCCCAGAAATTTCAAAAACGGATGTTAATGATAATGGCACCGTTAGTACGTGTGGAGACACGGAAAAAGTAGTCACACCAACCGAGAGTTCGAACGAACAGAAAACTGGCGGATCTGAAAATAACTCGGCCGGTAGTGAAGAAACTTCATTGTAGAGTTGTATTACCAGTTCTCGTAATCGCAGGTACACAGTGTAGAATTTCTCTAAAAGAGCACCACTCAGTTTAAAGCAAACAGGCTTCCGTTTTCATGTATATCACTCAGATCTGACCTATGCCTCAATTGCTTAAAAACGACTTTATACATATTGTAATTTTGTAGATTTCGCTTCTGTATATTGTGTTTTTTTTTGATTTATTTGTTTTGCATAAAGGTTTTTATTTGTACATTAACACATGTTCTTGTAAAGTTGAATTTTTACTCGACTAGTGAATGCTTTTTGGTTTCGGTCGAAAATTGAAAGTGCCTAGTAGTGTCACGTTGCAGAACGTTTCGATCACTCATAAGACAAAAAGCTATTTTTCGATCCCCAAGGGCACCTGCAGGAAACAGCCTCTAGTCAGAATAGATTAAATCGTTTTTAAATTGCAAATTTTGTGATATGTACAGGTTACTTTAAATTCGAGATTGTTCATAATAGCTTTTATATAAGGAAATGAAGCATATCACTGTTAGACCATATTTTCTGCAGGTGACTCTTTAATGTAGATGCAATCGGATTTGGCGTTGTGTCATGAGGTTTCAGCTGGTGAAAAAATAGAAATATTTACAGGGCGAAAGGTTGATGAGCAGGAGTTTTTTCTTGCGCTCAGTCCCCCACGCATGTTGAGCAAGCTGTGAGCGGGTACAAATCAGGAATTCGCACTTCAATCGGGAAAGGCACGAACGCCTCATCCGTAGCAAATAATTAAGTCATAGACGAATTGCAAAATTTGAGATGTTTTGCTCAAAATTGTAAAGTTTCGACCTTAATAATTTGGTAACTGTTTACAAATACATTGTTTTTAATGATATACTATTTTATAAAGAAACATAACGGGTTTCAATGTCTTTCTCAATTGTGCTAAGTTGACCTAAATGGCATGGGCGGTCGATCACAAATGATTTACCGCCCCAAGAGCAGCACCCGTGGAGGTCCACAAGTCATCGACTGTTCACTATAGATCTGGATGCATGATGCTTTTGATTTTCTTCACACTCCTATCACTGGGCCTGGTTGCAAGGTGCTTTCCGAAAAAGGTGAACTTTAACTTGTCAATAACAAACTCGAACACGGAGGTGTCTTTTAAAATCGCTGAAACAGACAGATCGTAATGTTTTAGAGCCAACATGGAGTTAGAGTCTGTACTTTTTAGTTTGTTCTCAGGAGTGACTAGTTGGAAGGACATTTTCGTTTCCAAAACAACCGTGCCGCTCATGCCAATCAAACTGGGCACCTTGGATTTGACCACTTTAAGTTCAGCTCCTACCATTTCTGATTTTGCAACAATCACACTAAAAATTACACGCACTCAGTACTTAAACACTGTTTGCCGTATCTTTCGGGTTTTACCTAAAACTGTTCCATTCCTGATCTGAACATGAGGGCGCCCTGTTCACCAGTTCTAAATTACCCCTCATGTAATCCTGCCATAAATTTCGCATCTTTTCCAGCGACTGATAGTTCCAGCCTTCCTGGAAAACTCCAAATAAAACAATGATAGTCAAGGAGCATTCAAGCGCTTACTGATGGCAGTTTCAAAAGCCCCATGCTCTTCCTCTGTTGCCTGGTGAGGAACGTTTTCTTCTGCTTCCGCCTCTTCGCCTTGATCACCGAGTGATGTTCCAACAGAAACTGCCATTTCAAATCGGTCTTCAGATTTCTCAAATCGGCGCTAGGCACTGTTTGTTTGATGAAAGACTGAATATAGCTGAAATATTACATCAGCAACTAAGGCAGGCAGACACTCAATAAAACTCACTCTACAGCTTCGCTTTTAGCTAAGTCTGGACCGGGCAGGATATCTTGAGGCAAGACTGCATTCACGCGCTCTGAAATTTGTTCAAATTAACCAAGAAACGTTGAAGATGGAGGGCTTGGCCCCAAATGTGAAATTGGGCTGGCGGTTAGATACCTTTAGGATTGTCGCTCATTTCAAGGCTAACACAAGCAGAGTCAAGGGAGAACTTGCTTTATAAATACTACCTGTCTCTGAACACAAAGGTATTTTTATTTTAATTGAACCTTTTGGCCATAAATAATCTGTAAAGTCGGTGTGTTTGTGTGGGTTATGTTCCGACTCCGTCTTCACGTTCGAATTTCAAAAGTTGAAAGTGCGTTTTGGGTTAATTAATGGACCATCTAGGAATTTTTAGCTGACACTGCTTAATTTAAAGTGTTCTTTAAAGTAAAACCAGAAAAAACGAAAAATTCAGAGGGGCTCAAACGACTCTCGACGAAACGACCTACTTATCCACAGATCACAACTAGTCAACAGTCTTGGATCACAAAGTGTGAACGTCTGTGATCTGTGGATTGGCATTCGTGATCTTGATAGACAATTGAAATTAGCGCATATAAGCCAACTTGACTCGTCGTTTAAATGACATGCGCAAGTGAGTTTGAGGTTAGGTTAAGCAAAGCAAACGTCTGTCACAGGGGGGGCCATTCGCGCATGTCATTGAAACAACGAGTCAGGCTGACTTATATGCGCTAGTGAAATGTTGTGAATTTTGATTGATGAAGAGTTTGCCAGTTTTGTTGGATTTATATGCTGAAAGGCGCTGGGCCGTGCCGAAATGTCCCAATGGAGCTCTTCCGATTCGGGCATTTTACGCAAGAACAGAGTAGAGGAGAACCTGGATCAACTCCTGGTATTTGGGTACTCGTGCAAAATATTCCGCGACGACGAAAAGGCCCTTTTCATTGACCAAGGCAAACACCTCATACCTTGGATGGGGCAGGAGTCGCTAAGGATAGACAGGTAATATCGCCTGCAGGCCGAAAGCCGCAGTAAACCGCAGCAAGTGGTACTCCGTTTAGATACGATGGAAGAGGCACACTGTCTGATCTCAAGAAGTTTGAGGCAAGCAGAGAGGATTACGACACTCTGCGCTGGCTGGGGTTGAGCGAGTCGGAGAAGAAATTGGAAGAACTGTGTGACAGGGAAAGGTACTACTCTTTGCAGATCAATGAGGAGGAGGAGGAAATGTATAAAGGTAAGGGTGATATGCGCTGAAAATGCTCCACTACAAAGAAACACACATACATAGAAGAGGCTGCCAAACGGGAAAAAACCAACGCAATAGCGTTTGACTACAATCAGTCGTCAAACCCCGAGCCGAAAGAGGGAGTACCGACTGTCCCGGAAAAGGAGGAAGAGGATGAGCCCTATAAGCCCTCACCTGTGCTGGACGTACCAGTAGATATTAACATTGTAAGTAAAGCACGGCCCCATTAAATTCAGACAGATTAGTAAATGAATGAATGGTGCTACAGCCGAAGACTTTGAAAGAATATGCGAGAATTGAAAAGACCGCGCTGTTCGTGTGCCGTCAAGGATGCCAGATGGAGATTCTCATCAAAGCCAAGCAGGCCGATAACCCCCAGTTTAGTTTCCTCACAGTGCAGGATCCGCTTTATAAATTCTACCGGCATCTTCTAGGGGCGTTTAAAAATGGAAGATATCAACCTCAGTGTGGCAAAAAACCAGGTGGGAGTTGCCGACTTTTCTATTGCGCTTTTCTAAGAAACGAACAATGTTTAAAATTTAGATGAAACTCAAGCCGAGCCGTCCCAAGACAGTGACCAGGACTCTCACTACCTCCACCCCAGCTTAGTATCAACAAGCGGCAAACCGGTAGGTGCCAAAGAATTCATCAGTTTTAAGCTTAAACAGTCGCTGATTTTTCATAGAATTACAGATAATTTGAAGGTAGCCTGGAACGGACTTGATATTGTGTAAGTGTGGTGGTCTCTTGACTCATTAACTGTTTAGTTTAGCTAGTAAGGTTTTGGCCAAAGACTGTGATATGGGGGCGAAGCCCCAAAAGTTCTCAGATTTGTAAATAAATGAATGCTTGAAAGTTTGAGCTTTTGTTTGGTAAGAGACGAGGTAAAATTCACTAAAACGGTGCCGCTCGCCCGATGCAGCGGAAAGATCCCGGAAACCTGTGTTTTTTCAGTTAGGTTCGTATCAGTGTTTCCCAACATGGTCTACATCACTTTAGTCGTCCATTGAAAGAGCATTCTAAAAATAATGATGTGTTTTATGTTACAGGTGCCCTTTAGACAATAGCCGAGCCCCAGAACGGCAGCCGCATGCAGTTATTTTTAGCCCCAGAACTTCAGACTATTTTTTCCTTTTTTTACTATTTATCGTTAAGGAAACCAGCGCCGCTGACTACTTGCTGTGTAAAGAACTGCTCTAATTACGAGCAACGGAAATTTCCAGCAACTACCGAAGTTTCAACGCATTCCAGCAATAATCCTGCTCGCTGCAAACCTTGGCGCACAGTGCCTGGTACACGCACTAAACGTTTCATTTTATTTGTCCGACCTTAATCCTCAAGGTCTCGGCACATTTGACGGCCTTCACCGAATAACATTTGTTTTTCTTTCCGGAACAGGGCACCCCGCCATTGGGGCAAAGTCGGCTCAGCTTGCCGTATAGACCTTCTGCCGATTGCGCCTACTCGCAACTAGTCAACCGCATTCAAGGCTCCAATGGGCAGTCGGAGCCTCTAATCACTCAGCAACCAAGTGCGGCCAATCAAATGCAGCTGATGAACCAGATGACGTTGGAGCAACAATATCATCAGTACTACTATGTTCAGCAGTTCTATGAGTACTGGAGGCATTCGGTGATCAACAGCGAACAAGGAGGTAAGTTTGTTGATAAGTTCTATATTGTTGAGGCGGATTCATTTTTTTACAAACTTCTTATTGGGTATTTTGCCTCAACAATTTTTGTCTTTAAAAAAGACAGAATTTCTTCACGTCTTTTATTACAAATTGATAAATAGTGCTCCTATTTCGCAATAAGAACGAATTATTTACCAAAAAGTAATCAAGAACTATCACCTAGAGGGTATCCTGCGACACACTT